CATTATTGTCGTTAACGAATTCTTCAATTTTATAGTAAGCTTTTTTTCAAAGGAAGTATTTTATATGACATTTAAATCTTTTTTTAGGCAGATTTATAACAGACTAAAGAAATATTGGAATAATACTTCCAAAGTGGTAATGTAGTGTTTTCTTGTATTAATTTTAAATACACCATCCGCTATTGTCAATTAGAGAGAAAATATACATAATTCACAGAGACTATTGACCTCTCAGACGAAAGGTTATATATATATGTATGTGCATCATATGTATATAGCTGTTACCAGCGACTTCGTTATTTCATTAACATAAATAAAATTTCTAAAACATAAGTAGTGACTATTTATAACTTTAATTATTTGCAAGTATGTAATTTTATATTATCTGTGCTGCAAGTGAGTCCCTTCAAAATCGGTCCAGTGTTTTCATCATGAACAAATAAGTACCGTGAGGTCAAAAAGCTACTACTGAGGGTTCTAATTGAAACTACCATTCAATACGGATGATAGAAATTTATTAAAAAAAAAATACTATAGGGAGGTCATTAAAACAAAAAAAAACTTAATAGCGCCATCTACATTTACCTGTGGCGCCATCTAGTGAACTAATATTATACATTTGGAACTATCAACACATCATTAACAGGGTTGGCGACCGACCACCGCAAACCGCAGCAAACTCTTTTGTTTTTATTTTTATTATTTTGAAATTTATATTTTTAGACCAGTTCTTTTTAAATCATGTTATTTGATACATTTCACTTATGGTATTGTCTTATTGTCATTACTGTAGTTCACAGTTGCATATTAATATACTAGCTGTCCCGGCAAACGTTGTTTTGCATTAAAATAAAAAAAAAAATTAGGGTTGGACCCCTAACATTTAGGGGAATGAAAAATAGATGTTGGCCGATTCTCAAACCTACTCAATACGCTCACAAAATTTTATGAGAATCGGTCAAGCCGTTTTGGAGGAGTATGGGAACGAAAACTGTGACACGAGAATTTTATATATAAGATTTTACTATAATATTTTACGTGTTTTCTTCATATAGACACCCATACAGTTCACCGATCCATTACAGACGGTCAGATATATATTTTTTTAATATTATTTTATAATTACAGGCAGACAATTCAATTTTATTTATTTGTATATACAGTATAAAGTGAATACGAAACTAAAGTTATTTATTTACAAAACCAATTGGAAATATACTCGTATAAAAACATAAATGGAAGATTTACGATATTTATATAGGTGGTTCTTAGTTATTTTTACAGTTGCACAAATATTTCTAATTAAGTCTATGTTAAATACAAAAATATTTACATCGTCATACATATAATATATATATATATATATATAGTATTTTATAACTTGCTACCATTAAAAAGAAATAAAGTTTGCGAGTTTTGACCAACATGGTGATGTTAACTTTAAAAAAAAATACTTTCAGTCCATTTATACAGAGTAACTAATATTACGCTAGGAAACAGAGAAAATATGACATAAGCCAAGTTGCACAGGTCATTGCATCAAAAACTTTTAATACATATTGTCATTCATATATGTATATATATTATAATTTATTTGGTTTAACAGAAGCATTAGATTAGACAGTAGATTTGACATATCATAAGAGTCTGTAATAGACCTATATGAAAAAAGATATTTTGAATTTGCAATGTAATTTATTTAAAGTGGCAGAAAGCAGACGTGGTATACATCTGCTGTACTGACATGGTACATTGCTAGCAATAATATCATGAGTTCACATTACTAACAATCCCCTTTGCCCTTCGATAATAGTAAGTCAACATCATCAATAGATTCTCATTTGACATAATGTTTTTTCCTTGGTGGGGAGGTTTGTGGGAAAGATGGTATGATACTCCTGGTGGGAGGTCAAGACAAAGTCTAATTCATACGTTCTTTTCATCGATAAATACAGAGATGAATCGTTTATGATGACAATGATGAGAATGAGTAGTAGTCTAGAATCTACTATAACAGATGGATAAATAAATAATGTATACTATATACTTTATTTGACGCGCCCGGTAGTTTAGTGGTTTTAGCGCTTTACGTCTGATGGTCACGGGTTCGATTCCTCGCACGGTACAAACATTTGTATATAAATACAAATATTTGTACAGTACGTAGTCTCCGTGGTGATCTATGTGGTAAATGTCGATCGCAAGACTGGTCTGACAACCTTTGCTAATATTTTAGCACTGAATTAGTATTGTTGTTCGTATCGTATAATTGTTTGTATCGGTCTGGATGTTTCTATGTATATTATGTCGTGTTATAGTAACGATACATGTGTTCTTTGTTATATTGTTTGTGCTTCTTCTTTACTGTATGTTGCAATTAAAATATATTCTATCTACCTATCTATATATTTAAAAAAAAAACTATCTATGTATTTATATCAGTAGTCTAGTGCCCTTAACATAAGCTCAGCTTAATTTGGGACTAAATGACACTGTGTTAATTGTCCAAAAATATTATAATTATTTTTTGTTCACTATTATAGTAAAGATTCTAGAGATAGTAGTAAGTCAGTAACATCAATATGTTCTCATTTGATACAATGTTTGCCTCTGCCGGGACTCGTATTACGATCACAATGTCGTGTTACCCTCAATCTGTCTAAATTACTTAACGTTCATACAGACGACTTCGGACATGTTGTAGAGATTTACAAGGATGTCTGCTAGTAGGGACACCACCCATCCGGATATTACTTACGGTCTTTACCCAGATTTGTCCGGATTAAAAAAATGTATCCAAAAAAAGCGATCTAGAGTGGAACAGAGGTATTCAGACTATTTTGACGGCCTCGGTGGTCTAGTGAATTAGCACACCGCTTTATTTCCGATGGTCGTGGATCCCATTCCTCGCATGGTGCAAACATTTGTATTCATGAGTATGTTGACTGTTTACATATGTCACGCTGCTTTCTAATGTATATTGTTTATGTATTTATAAACAATATATATAGATATATATTTGTATTAGTTGTATTTACTATTTTGTAGTCTTTTTTTAGAAATTTGGAATTTCTATCAAATTCTAGCACATAGGTAAAATTTTAAATTCTACCACAAATCCCAAATTTTGTTAATGTAGATAAGATAGATAAGATAGATATTTTCTAGTAGTCTAGTTCAAGAGAAGCATATCAGCTGGAAATTTAAGCCACTCGATCTTTCTTGGTGGGGAGGTTGGTGGGAAAGATAGTACTCCTGGTGAGAAAGGATAGATATATTAGTTAAGGTCAAGACAAACATTGATATATTCGTATGATAAACACAGAACTAAATCGCTTATTTTAATTGTTACCAGTGATGAGACAGCATTCAGATTAAAAAAATAAGTATGACTATTAAAAATGCTTATATTGAAGTATTATGAATGAAAAATATTCAATTTTTTTTTTTATAATACTATGGTTGTCGTAAAGCGTACGACCCATCTGATGGTAAATGGTTACCGTAGCCTATGGACGCTTGAAACACTATGGGTGTCACGTGCGCCTTGCCAGCTCTTAAGAAACCTTAATATACTCTTCTTGAAGTACCCCATGCTGTAGTCTCGTGAGAAAAACTCGGCTACCTGCGATTTTCATTCCATTTTCATTTTTCACATTATTTCCGCAATATAAATGTACGCGGGAGGAAGCTCCTTTGAAACCACACTGTCCGAGAACACTTGCGTTCTAGCGTGTGGGTATGAATTCCCTGTCTAATCTATTATAATCAATAATTACTGAGAATAGGTTGTTATCTATTTTTTAAACCCCTAAGAGATAAGGGTGTCTCACCCAAAAAAAAAAGTTTCTTCGGTCAACTGTTTTTATTTTTATTGTTATATGACTATGTACTATATTTTATTGTTATATATTGTTATACACTCCTGTATGTGTTTTAAGATGTCACATCAATTATCATTCTTCAACCACCAACCCCTATTTTAGCTAGAAATACATATAATAGCTAATAACGTTATTGTGTAAGCGTTAATAAACTTTTACTATTGCATATACATATATACCATTTTAGTTTAATAAAAAAAACGAATGAATAATTCAATTCTTCGTATTGAATTAAAAATAAAATATCATTCTCGTATGCCGTGAACTGCGAGTGAAAATTTATTATACATTTTTGTGCCTAAAACTGTCGCCCATTGTTGAATATGTCCTTCTATTTCAAACGCGACAGTAACCCTACCTGCGAGGGTGGTGTCCCTCTGGCTATAAATTAATTTGCAGGCTGTAGTTAGGTGGCTCTGTACATAGATTTGACGCTTCCATTGGACCTTTCTGAAATTCATCAATGTTTTTTCATTTTAGACTTTACATGTACAGAACATAGTTGATATTCGGCTGTTAATGTTTTATTTATAGTTGTAAAGTTTTTTAATTTAAATAAAGATAGGTGCTACATGTATTGTTTTCGGATTTTAAATAATAATTACAAAATAATAATATTAATTTGCGAAGCAAAAACTTTGTGCATCTTTAGGGAAATTGCTCAGACGAAGGACTATGAAATTTCGCACACTTATAGTTAAATAAAGAAGGAGTGCATAGAGAGGTGCATTTAGCACTCCTAAATTTATTACATAAAAAATAATAATATACATAAAAAATCTGTAAAAACCATTACACACAATACCATGTATTTGACACACATATGCATAATTATAATTATTAGAAATGAATTGAAAATACAATTATTTAGAGAATAATTATAAATAATTATAATCGAATATTTATTTTAATTAAGAATTAAACAATAGAGTATATATATTTGTTTAATTCTTATTGCTGGATCAAAGACCTTTTTGTATTTTTTATTAGGGTCGAATATCGACCACCAGTCGATTACTAGTTTATGTAAAACGGCACAAAATGTCCTAGGATTCAGACGTGCGGATTCTTAATTAGAATGACAAAATACTGATAAATATATGTATCTTGTTTCAGGTTGCAGGAACATTATCATCTGTCAGAGAGGTACGTAACTTCAAATTAATATTTCGAACTTCAAAATGTTGCTTTTTGAACGTAATTAATTGTTACAGAATAATTATGTACGGTAATCCAACTGATGGATTTGATTTCATTTTACTTTACTGTAATTAAGGAAATTTATGTACATAATAGGTATCTTTTCTACCAAAACAATTTTGTTTTCTAAAGAAAATATTTCTACGACTTCACTTTGTTTGTGCAATGTTTCAATCTATACATATAAATAAAATTGGAGTGTCTGTTTGTAATATTGAAATAACCGTTTTTTATTACGTGCATATGAATATAAATACGGTACATATACCAAAATATTTTTTTTTACAATTTTTGTCTGTCTGTCTGTCTGTTTGTTCCGACTAATTTCTGAAATGGCTGGGCCGATTTTGACGGGACTTTTTTGGCAGGTTGCTGATGTAATTAGGAGTACCTTAGGTTACTTTTGTTTTAGAAAAATAAAGTTAAATCACACGTGGACGAAATAGCTCGAATAGCTAGTATTCAATATCATACAAAAATACATCATTTAGAGGAATAAGAATTACAAATAATTTAGTTAGAAGTTCCTTTTTATTTTTATAGTTTATATCTCTATTAAAAAAAAAAACCGCCACAAAATTTGTTGTGTAGTTTTAAAGATTTAAGCATAAATATTGACGGACAGACAGCGACAGCGACTTCATTTTATACTATGTAATGACTCTAGCTTGCGACTTCTAGACGGCCTCGGTGGTCCAACGGGATAGCACACCGCTTTACTTCCGATGGTCGCGGGTTCCTACCATGGCACAAATAATTGTATTCATGAATATGGTTTTTTATATCGGTGTGGGTGTTTTCTATGTATTTATTTACAAAAAAATGTTTATGTATTTATATCAATTGTCTAGTACCCATAGCACAAGTTCTGCTTAGCGTTTGAATATAGCGCTGTGTGAATTGTTCAGATAATATAGGATTCTATAGTAACAAGAGATCACAACTATTCATATTACCAATTCGTAATTATACATTTGATACGTATACAACAAATGGTTGAAACGCAATAGAATATCTCATTGTTGGACCAGACAATTAAAACGGGAAACCTCCATCTGCATAAAATAATCATTTCACCTTAATCGTAAGTACGTAGTCATAGCACTTAGATATCGTTCAGGACACATTTCATCAAACCCAAAGAGTAGACCCCCCCAATTGTCATACTTGTGATGGTATTGATGATGCTCAACATTTGTTAATGGCATGCATTAAGAACAACACTGATAGGCAAATCTTACTGAAAAAAAATTAACAAAATTAATTTAGGAATCTTTTAGAGTATTTCATCAGAATCTGTATCAAAACAATCGGTAGTAATTTATAAATTTGTAGATAAAAGTAGGTAAGAATTGTCTTTATATTAATTTAAATTTTAGATGTAATGTAATTAAGATTAAGAAGTAAGCACGGAGCTAACATGCTCACTATTGTGCTAAGCTCCTAAAACAATAAAGGAAAAAAATCACATTGTTGAACCCGACAATTAAAACTGGAAACCGCCATCTGCATAAAATAATCATTTAAAATTAATCGAAATCTTTATAAAATCTTTACAATCGAAATTAAAACCACAGATAACATAATATTAATATGTAATATTTGGTTCTGTGGTTTTAACGAAATGAAGTCACTTAAAATTGCAACGCCTGCATTATCTGTAAATTTTCAAGCCCAATTTCATTCTCACTCTCATTCAATTCATTCGTTCATTATTGCTAAGTGATAATACAGGATAAGAGACATGACATTTTAATTCTTTTGAATGGTAATTTATGATAACGTGATGACCGTAGTGCTGTATGTATGGTGCTAGTGTTGTACATGTGGGGTCGGTAATAATTGTTTTATAAATAAAATAGACCCTGAACAAATAGTCATTGTATATATATATAAAATATATTGTATACAATATATTATGCCCAATTTACACTCAGCTCGAGTGGGCAGGGAAGTGAGCAGCGCGAGAGTGTAAACACGAGTGGAAACACTTCCCATGTCATTGGCGCTGCCACTCGCGCTGCCCGGCACTCTCTCGATTGTCGGTTTTTCGTGCGCGAGTCAAAGGACTGGCAGCGCGAGTGGTAGCGTGTTTTTACATTCAGCCCTCTCGCTCAGTTGTCGCCCGGCAATATTTCCGGGAGCGCCAGTAGCAGGGGAAGCGGCTGAATGTAACGTAGCATTAGAATATAAGAATTAACAAGAAAATGTATATATGGAACAGAGCTGTATAAGGCGAGTGACGGATGACGTCAGAATATTTTATAGGTGAACTATGGAACGTGTCTGTCTTGTCTGCAAGCAGCCAGTCGTCATGAAAAGAGGTAATGATGTGAAATGATTATTATACAAATATATACAGTACACAATATACACATATACATAATACACAAAGAAAAACGTTCTATATTCGGTCAGTATATTATTTTTATATATGATATTTTTTAACTATAATTAATTCGTATCTTAATTCTGATTGCTTCTTTCGTCTGCTTATCATTATATATCGCCCAATTTACATACATAATATCTTTTTGAATTATAGCCTATGTGTTATTCTGTAGTATAAGCTATGTTACTGTAAAGTTTCATTAAAATCCGTTCAGTAGTTTATGCGTGAAAGTATAAACTACTGAACTGACGTAAGTGAGTAACAAACATCCGTTGATACTCACAAACTTTCTCATTAATAATATTAGAAAGATTTGTATTATTATTTGTATTTTTAATCTTATTCAGTTTGAGATTATTCTGCTAAGTTACAAAATTATATCTACACAAATAAATTAATAGCAATTGCTTCAGTAGACTGATCCTAATTGAATGTGGCGCCTTTATGCTTCGAATGGGAGCATTTGGGTTGGATTCGATCTGAAATTACAATAATATAAATGTTACAATTCTCTAAACTTACTAATTATTATTAACTAGCTACTCGCCTCGACTTCGCATTGTATGTGGTGTGTGGGTGTATATAAACCTTCCTCTTGAATTTCTCTATCTATTAAAAAAAAGGCTTCAAAATCCGTTGCGTAGTTAAAAGATTTAAGCATACATAGGGACGGACAGACAGCGACAGCGACTTTGTTTTATACTATGTAATGATTTATCTGTATGCAAATGACTTCAGCCACCTGGCATAAGCTGGAATATCTGAGGAAAATGGAGAATCATCACCTCTCACGAGATCTGACATTATCAACAAATCTGTTTGTAATCTGAAAGATTTACTGCATCATGTAAAAGAAAATATATATGTATATATATATATATATATATTAAAATAAACTTATATTTAAACACTTTATAATAGACATTGCTATTTATTTATTTACCGCTCATTCAAGCTGCTTTGTCATATGAAGAATGGGCAAGAAATTTGCGTGTTGCTCTTTTAAGTTTAGTTGTACTTTATGAACATAAAGTTAATATGTGTGAATACAAACTACCGACTTTTGACGGCACCGCTAGGTAATCGAACTTCGGCTTAGGTCGTAATATTTTCGATCCCCGTTTGAATTGGACGGGGGATCGATCGGAGGGGTAAGTAATACATGAACAGTTCCATGGACCTTAAGTAGTCATGTGATCCCCATACTAGTCATGTATTGCTGTTATAAAGCAAAAAAATATTTGTAGTAGGTACTCTATAATTGCAATGTCTTATTTCACCTTTCAATCTAATCAGATCTTACTAAATTGTTAGGCGGTTGAAATATGTAAGATCTCTTTTGTAATAAAGGAATTAAATTTATTCAAACTCTACTCGGTACATATATATAATAAGTTGCAAACTATATCTACTGTAAGATAATGTATTAACATTTATTCCCTTTGCCATTATAACTAGATATTTCGCTAAAATAAATGAGCTTGTTTATTTTCTGACAGAATGACAAGGCGGGAAAGTTAAATTACAAAATGGCTACAGATGACAATATTTTGTAGGTAATAAATTGTTCATAATAAATTGTATATGCTTGGTTAATTTTGAAACTCTAAGTTGTAACTTGACATTTCTGTTCCTTTGATGTTGATAATAATCATTATTCAACTAAATATTCTAAATTAAACAGTAATGTTTTTTTTAATGGCGCTAATCAATTTGTGTAATGTTATGGGCGTTCTTTTTTTAAATTTGTTTTTCAAATTTAATTTTATACCAAAATTTGCAACATATTAAAAAAATGTACTTTGCTTGTAGAACTTTTTTTTTATTTTAGATAAGGCTAAGGATCTCAACCTGTGCAGTTATCGTCTTCGGTTAAATTCTGACATCATTATATCTTTATTCTCATGGAATTGTGATATTCAAATAATATTATCATAACCCTATTATAACGTTAGGCGTAGCAAATTATATTTTCTTTAGATTCTACGAGGAAATATATTTAATAATATAAAATAATTTAGTCAATATTTGTTAATATATTATCAGCAGAGCTTATAAGAGATTTTTTGAAAACCATACTTTTCAAGGGTTAGATCTAGACACGCGGCAGCGTGTCAAGCCGAGTTTCAAGTAAACTGGCTTGCAGCACCGTGTGTATATTTACACGAACCATTTGGAGCCACTTTTGGCCCCCTCATAACTCAAAAACTCTTTCACACAAACCTGTCAAATTTGGTTCATATATTGAGACTTGCGAGATAAATATGTGTTCCAAATTTAATAAACATATCTCAAACGGTTATTTAGATATTAATGTCCAAAAATCGTCATTTTTATCACTGATCAACTATAGATCAAAATTATAACCCACTTCCAGATGACCTAGGAAGTTCAAATTTGGTATGCAGATAGGTAATTAGGTGAATATAAAGGAAAAAATCTGAAACTGGTAAATTGTTATCATTTTACTACAATTTTTCACTTTAATTGATTCTATTTCAACTTATACTGGACGAATACTAAAATTCTATGAAAACGTCGATAGCCACCAATT